CGACGGGGAAGGGTTGGGATCTGGGCTCGTTGGCCCTCCCTGTGGCGGCATCCTGGGGGCAACTTTCCGAGCGAATTCTGGCAGCGCCTCTCTTGGGTGGTCTTCGGGGGTGGTCCCTTCTCCGGCCAACTGCCCATGGCCGAAAACAGAGCTGTGACAATCAAATTCATCGAAATCATGTGGCCTGACTTGTTCCGAGACCTGAGCGTTGACGAAAACGAGTGCGGTGAACGGTAGGCGTCGCGTCTTCTCTCGCGAATGCGGTCTTTTCCCGCCGATATCGGGGCGTCTCGCATGCGACGGGCATCGGCTGCGCCTTCAGCTGATGAGTGAGGGCCTCTAGCGACTTCAGATGCTCGACTAGGTGCGCCTTCCTCTGCCTGAGGACCTCCTGTGTGCTGATCGTCTCGAGAGCTGCAAGCCCGACCTGAGGGCTGGGTGGTCCCAGTCCGTGGTCCGTGGGCTCCTCCTTGACGGTGTCGGAATACTTCTGAGCGGCTCCGATCGTCGCGTAGTTGAGCTGGTGCTCATGGGGCATGAAGTGCGTGGAGAGGCAGCTCTCCAGAGCTCGCTGCCGTTGAGCTGTGTTCAGGTAGCCTCTCATCACCTCCGCGGCTGTCTCGTCCCCCGAGTCGGTGCCCTCCACGGTGGCCGCTGGGTGTACGGGGCCTGCCTTCTGCCGTCGCTGCTTGGGCGCGCGCTCGTGCGACTTGCCGCGGCCGCCAGCGGTCAATGAACTCATCTGTGATACTTCTGCACAGGTGATTCTTCGTCTTGCCCATCTTGCCCTGGCCGATAGTCAGCGCCCATGCCGCCGGAGGCAGTGGCCGAGAATGTTGCGTCTGAGAGGCCAACGCGCGCGCGAATGCGCCGCTGAAGAGCCGCGAGCGACGGGCGATCAACGCTGCGCACTGGGCACTCGAAAGTCAAACGGAGGAACAACTTCATCCTGTGTCGGGCTGCGGTCGCACTGGCAACCCCTCATGATGAATCATCTGCGAGCGCGCTGCCGAGAGATCACAATTGTTGAGTGCGTGCCCATGCGCCATGGGCGCCAGTGCGTGACGGCGAGAAACTGAGACCGAGCCCGGTGTCCGCGACTGTCTTCCGCGCAGAACCACATGAGTGTATGCCGCCCTCGTTGATCATGAAACTCCCAACCGCATTCCGCGCCGTCGGCCTTCGTTTTCGTGCAACGCCAGACTTGAGGGGGGGGTGCGGGGTCGGGGCCTCCAGAGCCTCCAGGTGCATCTCCGCCGCCGCCTTCCCCCACCTGCCCCCCGCTCGTCTCGCTCGCCCCCCCCCCCCCCCCAATGTAATGCTGGGCTTGGCAGAATGTAACTCGGAGAACTTCTTGTCAAATTAGCGAGTAAAACCTCGGGGATGCACGCGCCCCGCGGCGGCGAGGAGTTCGGGGCGCATTTCAGCGTGGACGATCGATAGTTCTTGGATCGTTGAAGACTTGAAGGGCCCAGGGGTGCCTCTCGTCGCGCATCTGTCCGAAAACTGCCGTGATCAGCTGTCGATTCAGGGGTGGGGGTGGGGTGGGGGGGGGGGGGGGGGGGGGCGGCCGTCTCCCGCGGCCCATGCAAACGCCGCGTGCGAAGCTCAAGCTGCGAGGGTGCCAGGCCGAGCTTGGTCCAAATGCGCGCTGCTGGGTTGGGCGCATGATTCGAACTGCTGTCGGCCTGTGACATCTTGGATACTGCTGCGCCTCTCAAGGGAATCCGACCCCGCTGCAACAATAGGCCGCCGATAAGCTCACAGTCGCTGGCCGATGGGGTGAAAGCCTCGTGGCCCCCAGGGCCAGCAAACTGCGCTCGCGCATGGATAGCGAAGACCTGGCTGCATAAAAAGGGAATCTTTGTACGTGCCAAAACCTGCCCATCGCGTGCCATGCGCTCCACGTGCTCCTGTGCATAGCAAATCTCTGTTGTGCTCTAGTTCCCGCGCCGCGATATTGCGCGCCAAGATGATTCGCGCGCGTGCGCGCGCGCCCGGGGAGAGCGGGCGCGGGGTCGGTGAAAGACCGAGATTCGCCAAAAGCGCTGATGCCCGCAGAGCGGGGCACCATGACCTGCTCGTCGCGGTTCCGGGGGCCGCCCGCGAGGGCGAGATAGTGAGGGGGGCCGGCTGTGGCTGCGCAGCCCTTGTCGGCCATCGCTGAGGCTGTGGGGGCTACGACGTTATGAGCAGCGCCGTCCAAGTGAGACTTAGTGGATAAATGAATGTCTTGACGAGGAATGTCATTCATCGGGCTGTGGCGCATAAGGTCGCGGCCTCCAGGCTGAGCTCGTCGCTCGGCAATCCATGGCGCGAGTGCTGCGCGGTGCGAATGCACTTGACGGGGGCTGACTGGCGGCCTGTCAAGATTCCCTCCTGGACCTGATAGTGCCCCGCCCCGTCGGAGCAATCCAACGTGGTAGAACTGCGATGATAATTGTGTTGTCCAAAAGTGGCATCATCTGGACGCGCCTGGAGGCGATCTGTTTCTCCTAGTAACTCAGCGCTAATACTTCCGAAAACGTTGGCCTCATTGTCAAAAAAAACGCGCAGTGCGACTTGTGTAGACGTGGCAATCGCCACCCTGTGATCAGCCGTATCTTTATAACAGACTCACGTCGCCTTGGCCCGTTGCCACCGCGTGGGTGGCCTGCAACAACTCACTTCGGGTTGCGTCGGCCACCTCGCTGCATCCGGCGCCTGCTGCGTGCTGAGCTGAAGGGGCGCATGCGGTGAGCCGGGCGAATGGGCCGCGGGCCCGGCGAGGTCGCCGCAGGCTTGGGCGTGCTGCTTCTCCAAGGGGGATGCCAGTCACGCGGTGGGCGGGCCCCTCCTCGGACGCCCCAAAGAAACCCTCGGGCTCGACGCGAGAGCCAGGCCGTGTCGGGGGCGTCGCAGCGAATTCATGCCGTTGATCTTTTCTACTCGGAGTGTCTATGAGAGGGGGGGGGGACATCGCGCGGTGAACTTCCATGGGTGGGCTCCATGGGGGAGGGGGGGGGGGGGGGGGCGCGTTCCCCGCGGGTCATCTGAAGGAGTGACGGGTCTTTTCCTTTCCAGGCCCTCCTCCGCCTCGCCCTTGAGACCAGGCCCACCAAACGCGAGCCCCAACTCATCCTCAAACCGATCCTCTGGCAGGGGAGGCAAAGCAACTAGCGATGCTGATTTGCCGCCGAGTGGGCCTCGCTGTGCAAGAAAGTCGGTCCACATCTGGATCGTCGGTCGCATGCTGATCGGCAAGTTGAGATAGCTGAGCCCTGGCCCCGCTATCGTGCATGCGAGCCTTCTGCGCGGCCGACGAACCAGAGACCATCTGGTGGCCTTCCAGGCGTCTCATATTTGTTCTGCTAGCGGTTCCATGCGTCGATCTCCATCCGCATCTCGGCGCTGATTGATCAGACTTGTCACCGAGAACAACTGGGATTGCGCGTGGTTGAGCTCCTGGAAGTGCGCGCTGTCGGCGATCAGGGCGGCGGGAAGGGCGCTCAGTCAGTCTCTAAGCTCGAATCGTCGTCGGATTGGGGCTCGCTGTGATTTGCGCTGCTGTTCGTCATCGATGTCGGCTTCGGTATGTTTCGCAAGCTATTCCAGGGCGATGCCTCGAACGTCGCCTGCAATCTGCTCCCGGGCTCTGTTGGGGGCGGCCCGTCCTTCGAATTGGGGCCGGGCGGGGAAGGCGCGGCAGCGCATGTCCTCGATCTGCTTGAGAAATCTATCGCGCCAGATGCCGTGCACCACTCCATCTGCCAGCCGATCGGTATCCCAAGACTCAGCCTTCGTGCAGGGTGCCGCAGGGAAGCTGAGGAGGCACTTAACAGAGACCTGCAGTGGCCAGTGGTCCCATCTGCGGATCGTGGGGGCCATTTGGAGCCGTCTACCAAGCCTTTGGAGAACTCTGCGCTGGGTGACCGAGGAGGGCCAAGTGCGGGGAGCCCCAATGTAGTCAACGCGCGTGCTGTTCATTTTCCCCTAAATCTGTGTCTTCACGGCCTACATAATCAGGCAAACTTCGAACTGCTCAGGGTCAACTCTCATCTTCTTCATACAATAATACTTAGGGCGAGGAAGAAAAAGGTCCTATGGGGTCGACTTCGTCTGTGATGTGTTCAGCGGGTGGCACTCCAGTGTCATCGTTCAGGTCCCCGCCGAAGGCAATCGAACATCGGGCTGGCTGTTCAGTAGATATATGTCAGTCGTCCATTTGATCAACGAATGAACGCTATTATGATAAATGCTCTTCTGTTCAGCTGTCGACGGGCGAGGATGCAAATTAACAACAATTGCGAATGCACGGGAGCGGCCTGATCGTAGAAGGACCGCCCCGCTTCGTCCTTGCAGTGCAAGATGTGGCGAGAAAACTGCGGCGATGTGGCGGGTCCTGAAAATGTCCTTCCTCGGTCTAACTAATCTGCACTCCAGCGCATGACCTTTAGAATCTGCGACTGTACCCCCAACTGAAAATGTGGAGATCCTTGTCTGCGATGCTGCTGCATGTGCGGTCGGTAGTTTTCATGCGTATCCGAATCCCTTTCAAAACGTGATGTCTTTGCTGGCATATGCAAAAGAAGCTTCTGAATGACGGCCTGGCTGGACAAGAGGGCACACGTTGTGTGATACTATTCAAGCTGTAGTGTTCCACCATCCTTCGGAGCGTGGGGGCGAGGGGTTCCTCAATTTCAACTGGGAGACATGGCGCGGAGAGTAAGACTAGGAAGACTGGGGCGGTGGGGCGTGTAAACATGGGGGCGGGCGGCGCCGCTTGACGCCTGGAGGAGGAGGGGAAGAGGAGGAGGAGGAGGAGGAGGAGGAGGAGGAGGAGGAGGAGGAGGAGGAGGGGGAAGGTCAGGTCAGGTCAGGCAGTCGTCGAAGGCTCGTCGATGAGGCGTCAGCCGAAATGTGGTTCACATGTCGCACCAGCCCAAAGGCTGCCAAAATGGCAACCTGCACAACAAAACCACCAGGGAGCCGGAGGACGAGGGAGATGAGGAAAAGGGTGGGGGAGGGAGGGAAGGGGGGGAGGAAGACTGAGGGCCATCCCAAGAAACCCCGGCAGGCATCCAAGAGGCATCTGGCCCCCAACCCAAGCACGGTGGCGGGATGGGCAGAAAACCAATGAATATCCGCCGCCGCCTGCCCTTCCAAACAACTCCCAATAATCTCCGACTCAACCCGCCAGCCATCCGGAAAATGTCCAAATGGAATGTGCCTCCAAAAAGGCCGAGGTGGCCTCCAAGAAGGTTCACAACGCCAATTCGACTGCCAACATGGCCCAATATGCTTCCACGACGGCTCAGGATGCCCCTACGAGGCCCCGCAAAGGTACCCAGGAGGCCCCCCAGGAAGTTTCCAGGAGTTCCCTGGGATGGCCCCAAGTGGTCTCCACTTCATTCTTCTTCTCCTCCCTTTCCTCCTTCTTTCTCTTCCTCCCCCAGGTGTTCTCCCATGGGGGTCTCACAGCAGCTGGGGGAACACATCGCCCAATAGCCTGGCCAGACTTTGGCCTAACGTTCAGCCACATGGGCGTCTTCGAAAAGCATGGGGCGGCGGTGGTTCGCCGTGCGGGGTCTTCGATAACAATACAGCTGCCACGGCGACTCGAGAGTCGCCGCCCCGCCCCTGATTCGACACCTGATCGGTGACCTCTCTGCCCTCGCCGCCGAAGCCCCACCAGCCCTTCAGGGCGCGAGTGGCTTAGCATGTTTTCTCTTGCAACCCTTATTCTTCCCACTTCGGGGAGGGCTTTACCACTGTTCCCTATCAAAGAACATCCCCTCCCCCAGGCGACCAACAGCCATCCAGGACCAATGACCCCTCACCATCCCTGTCAAGCGCACTGGAACATACACTTCGGGCCAGCATCTTGGGTCATGCTCGTGGGCCCCGGGAGAACTTTTTAATTGTTTTTTTTGACAGGGGCGGCGGGGGGGCTATCGTGTTGTCTGTTGCGCGCAGGGTCATCATCCGCTTCAAATAACAATACGAAATGCGCTTCGCGGCGAAATCTGGATCGTGCGCGGCCACCCCGCCGTCACTTTGCATTGGTTTCTGACAAAGACGGCGGGGGTGCTGGCATATTGCCTGCTGCGTGCAGGCCAACCAGGCACCATGGTTAGGTCGGGCATGCCCTCCTACATGCGGATTTTGGACGAAGAATAAAACATTCCCCCAACATAATCAAAATTGCAAAAAATAGAAAATTGTCCCTGGACTTTTTCCCTACTACCTAGGCTCTGCCTAGAAGGGTTCTTACTCTGTGGGCTTAAAAGGGCCGGGCAGTGCAAAGCGCCCCGGGCGGTTCCCCTAGGATCCGCCCCGCGGTTCCCCCAATTGCGTCCCCTTAGCTTAGCGTTGCTAATCTCATCTTAGCTTAGCTTATTTCATCTTAGCTTAGCTTAGCTTCATCTTAGCTCAGGTTTGTCTTAGCTTAGCTTACCTTCATCTTAGCTTCGCTGAGCTTTAACATAGAAGAGCACAGCATAGCATAGCGTAGCATATCATAGCGCAACATATCATATCATAGCCCAGCATATCATAGCGCAGCATAGCATAGCATATCATAGCATAGCTTAGCATAGCACAGCGCAACATAGCATAGCACAGCATAGCACAGCGCAGCATAGCATAGCATAGCACAGCACAGCCTGGCCTAGCCCAGCATCGCATTGCGCAGCATAGCATATCATAGCATAGCATAGCATAGCGCAGCATAGCATAGTGCAGCATAGCATAGCACAGCACAGCATAGCGCAGCACAGCACAGCGCAGCATAGCAGAGCATAGCATCGCGCAGCATAGCATAGCGCAGCATAGCATAGCACAGCACAGCATAGCCTAGCCCAGCATAGCATTGCGCAACAACACATAGCATAGCATAACATCCAAGGAACCGCTACTGCTACAACTACGACGATGAGGAGAAGGAGGAGGATGGCGTTTACCGCTCCTACTAATGTTGCTTTCCTAGAGGCTCCAACTCCTAGGTAGGGTCGCACTGGGATAATTATTAAGTGCTATGTTTGAATATTTCTCCTGTAGAGGGACACACCCGACTTAGCACTATGGCCACCCCGTCGCGATTGTGCACTTGTGTTCGATAAGGACGGTGGTGGGCGACGTGTTCCCCGACGTGTGCTGCCACGCGCGAGGGCACACGCGGCGCGTGCCCCGAACGTGGCGCACCTGGCGCGGCTGGAGCATGCGGCACACATGGCCCACGTGGAGCACGTGGCTCATCTGTAGAATAAGACTGGCACCCCAGCATCGCGCACATGGGGTCCCTTTTGGTTTCCCAGTAGCTGCCCATGCATGGACGACAGCTGGACACGCTGAGGCTCGTGTACTACTTATGTGTTTGTTGGGAGGGCGGGTGGGCATAAACGAGACAGCGTGCTGGCGGGGAGGGTGTCTTGACCCCTCCCCCTACGCCCCCCACGGGGGGGCGCGAGGGGTTAGAGCGGCCAAGATGACCTCGGCGAGAACACAAACATCATTGATTTTACGAGAGAGGTCTTGGCTACATTTTGGCCTCCCGGGGGGGGGGGGGGGGGGGCAATTTACTACGGCCCGTCCTTCCATCGATCTTCTCCAGGATGGCCTCAAGATGTCCCCCCAGGCTCCTAAGGTTGCCCCACGACGGCCCCAAGAGGTGCCCAGGATGCCCCAAGAAGCCCCCAAGAGGCCCCCAAGGGATCCCCAAGAGGCGCCCACGATACCCCCTGAGTCCCCAAGAGGTTCCCCGAGGCACCCAAGACACCCGAAGAGGCTCCTGGGATTGCCAAGAGACCTCCAAGACGCCCCAAGAGGACTCCATGACACTCTCGAAAAACATCAGAAGAGACTCCGAGAGGCATCCAAGAGGCCTTTGGCCTTTCTGCTCGCCCTCCTCCTCCTCCTCCTCGTCCTCTTTCTCCTCCTCTCCTTCATCCGCGCATTCCTAATCCCTCCTCCTCCCCCCTCCTCCTCCTCCTCCTCCGATTTCTCCTCCATGCACTCCTTCTTGGGGTATGATGTCCTGCCCAACCCTTTATTCCACTGCATGATCCTCCACATCCTTGATCACGGCAACTCGTCTTGGCATCGTTCCTGGATGGAATGTCGGGTTTCTTTTTGGTACGCGGGCGCGCGAAGCGAGTCGAACGCCGTGCAAGCAGGGGCAGGCCGTGCCACAAGCTAAGGGACAAAGACTGTTGGGTTTCTCGAAGCGTCTGGAATTTGCTGCATGTTTTCTTTCATTGCGTAGGCCTTCGCCTCCCAATCGGACCGGTGGCTCCGAGGCGCAACGGGACCAATCACCGCTTCACGGCGATCGCCGCAAGGCTTGCTGCCTGGCAGCCGTCCCAGAGCAGGCGTGGCATCGGTTGCAATCCGACCCGTCCTTGCACCCGCGGGTCTTCCGCACGTACTTGCAGGGCTCCTGGCACGTGTACGGGTGGCCCACGGACCCCACGCTCAGCACCGCCTTGGGATCCTTGGGCGCCGCAGGCGCGCACTGAGGCCTCGCCAAGGCGGCCTTGGCCCCCCTGGCGGGCGCCCGGCCGCGCGGCGCTGCAGCGGCCACGGGCGGTGGCGGCGGCGGCGGAGGCGCGGGCTCCGCCGCGGGCTGCCAGAAAGGCATCCACCGCGGCGGCTTCTCGGCCAACGCGCCCTGCCGCCACGCCAGCGGCGCCTGCGGCGCCTGCGCGCGGGCCTCTCGGGGGAGCAGAAAGGTACCGCTGCCGCTACGGTGAGGGCGTTGGATAGGAGCCCCCGCAAGGTCTGAAAGCCGGTGGGGCACCAATTGAGGATTGGCCACGGACATCACCGCCGCCCTTCTGATAAGGAATCCCCCAGGGCCTGAAGCCTCGTGACCACACTCCTGAACGCACGCCCCCCACCGTCCTCCCCGGACCTCTCCGGGGTGCGCTCTGACCAGGATTTCGAGGAGAATGCATCCATGGTGGCGAGGACTCTCCAGGCCGAGCAGCGGCATCGGCACCTTCTCCTCCTCTGACCTCTGGCGACGGCGTGCGGGAGCGGGCCCATGCCACGACCGCAGTCGCCCTCGCGCGGGCGGCTGAGGACGCCGCGTCCGCTGCGGACGCGCTGCCGCCGCAGGCGCCGCCGCTCGCGCGCCGCATGGGCCCCCCGCGGGCGCGCAGGTGGTCGTGGCCCCTGGGGGTGCCTGCCTCCACGAGCACGTAGTCGTCGAGGCGCGGCTCGAGCTCGAGGTCTATGGCAGCGCTGCCCTGGCTGTACGAGGCGGCGTCGTCAGAGGCGGCAGGGCGCTGCCCTCGGCGCCAAGGCGTCACGGCGCTGCCCTCGGCGCCGAGGCACTGCTCGAGCTCGAGGCCTCTGGCGGAGCTGCCCTGGCTGCCCGAGGCGGCGCCGGCGCGGGCGGGCGGCGGCCGAGGCGGCACGGCGCCGCCCTCGGCGCCGGGGCACGGCTCGGGCCCGGGGCCTGTGGCGGAGCTGCCCTGGGTGCCCGAGGTGGCATCGACGCGGGCGGCGTCTGCTGCGCCTCCACGTTGGTCGGGACCAGATCTGTTGTCGCGCGCGTTCACGTCGAGGCCGTCTGGGAGGCCTGTCGCCTCCCAGGGGGACGCGACGCAGCATGGCAGGCCGCTGGGCGTCCGCGTCGGCGAGGGGTCTGGGGTGCGCCAGCCGCGGCTCAGCCCAGGCGGGGCGCGCACCCGCACGTTCAGGACGAGCTGGCTCGGCATCGCTGCTCCGGTCCGCGTCGGCGAGGGGTCTGGGGTGCGCCAGCCGCGGCTCAGCCCCGGCGGGGCGCGCACGCTCAAGACAAGCTGGCTCGGCGTCGCTGCGCTGGCCCAGGCGGCCTCGAAGCTCTCCCGCAAGCCGAAGCTGTCCAGTGGCGCGCACTCTGGCTCCGCCGTGTCTAACTTGGCCTCCCTGGCCAGCGCCAGGCCACGCTGCGCTGCGGTGGCCACGGGCACCGCTGGCGGCGGCACGCGGGCCTCCAGAGACGGGGTGCGGATGCGGGCCCATGCCGCGACTGGTGTCGTTCCCGCACGGGCGACGGAGGACAACGCGGCCACTGCGGGCGCGCTGTCGCCGCAGGAGCTGCTGGTCGCACCCCGATCCTGGTCGTGGCCCCTGGGGCTGCTGGCCCTGGCCTCCCCCGCGGACCTCTTCTTCGCCTCGCTGACGATGCTCTTCCAGCCGCGGCGGAGCCTCTGGGCCGCCGAGCGGACCCGCCCGCTGGCGTGGTCCTTGAGAGGCTGAGTGAGCACGCCCAGGTCCGTCTTCTGCAGCAGCTGCAGCGTCGCGGGCACGGCGGAGAGCGCCTCCAGGACCTCGCACAGGGCGTCGGCGTCCTCGCCCGGCGTGGCGCGGAGGCGCGCCGCCAGCGCGGCCAGCTGCTCCGCGGGCACGCCCGTCTCGGCGCCCACTTCAGGCTCCCGCGCCTCGGCTGCCGCGCACGCGCCCGCCGGCTCGGCGTGGAGCGTGGGCCGCGAGCCCGGCGGCCGAGGCAGCACCACGGCGCCGCCCTCGGCGCCGAGGCGTGGCTCGAGCTCGAGGCCTGTGGCAGCACCGTCCTGGGTGCCCGAGGCGGCGTCGACGCGGGCGGCGCCTGCTGCGCCTCCGCGCCGGTCGGGACTGCATGGGCTGCCGCGCGCGTCCACGTCGAGGCCGTCGGGGAGGTCCGCCTCCTCCCACGTGGACGCGGCGCAGCTGGGCAGGCCGTTGGACGTCCGCGTTGGCGAGGGGTCTGGGGTGCACCACCCGCGGCTCAGCGGGGGCAAGGCGCGCGCCCGGACGCTCAGGACGAGCTGGCTCGGCATCGCCGCGATGGTCCAGGCCGCGCAGGTGTCGAGGGCTCCGTCCGTGGACCTTCAAGTGTATTATCCCCAAAGTGGAACTTGAAATTCGCCAGCGTGCATCCAGCACGTAAGGGAGTGATGCGGAGCTCTCACGGGTGTGCGTCGCAGAGGGACTGCCGTCTGGTTGTTGGCTTGCAGGATTCTGCAGGGCCCGGCCTCCCGTGCATGCCGGAAAAAGATGGGGCTGCTCCAAACATTCCTGGGCGCTTCTGGAGTGTGCCTGCGTGCGCCGGGCAAGGTCTGGGGAAGCCAAAACGATTCGAAGAGTGATCCAAGGCGGACCAAAAAGGGCCCCAAGAGGCTCTCAAGACTGCCCAAGAAGGCCCCAAGGAGGCGCCCCAAGGGTTCCAAGACAACCCCAAACCAATCTCCAAAAGGCTTCCGAGAGGCCTCCCCAGAGATCTCCGCAAAGATCCAAAGGGCCTCTGACCTACAACCCCGGCGCGGTGGCGGGATGGGCCGAAAGCCACCAGATCCGCCGCCCCCTGTTGGCTTGCCACAGGGGTGCCTGGTGCCTGGCGTGCCAAACTTCGGGAGGTTTTTGATTCTTTTACAACTACCCCTGGGGCTTTGGCCCAGCGCGCTGGCCACCCCGAAGGCTCTTCCAAAGGTGGTTGCAAAAGTTTTCCCGCTCCAGATGGCTCCAAGATGGCCCACGCTGGCCTCCAAGACGGGCAAGATGGCCCTGAAGTTCGCCCAAGCTGGTCCAATATGGCCTCCAAGACGGCCCAAGAGCGTCCAAGATACCTCCAAATTTGCCCAAGAAATCTAATATGGCCTCACGATGACGGCCCCCAAGAGGCCACTAAGACGGCCCAAGAAGCCTCCAAGAGGTCCTCCAGGAAGGCCCGAAGTATCATTGATTATCCGTAGGTTTTTGAAGGATCTGGGCATTTGTTTCTTTTCGGCCTTCGGACGGCCCAAGACGGCCTAAAAAGTCTCCGAGATCGCCACCAACAGGGCCTCAAGACGGCCAAAGGGGCCTCCAAGACGCCCAACATGGCCTCCAAGACGGCCATGCAGCACCCCAACAGGGTCCCACGTCGGTTCAGAGAAGCCTCCAAGACGACCTCCGACAGCGTCAGACGGGCCAGGAACGCCTTCAGACGGCCAAAGAGGCCCCCAACAAGCTCCCAAAGGCTCCCAATAGGCCCCAGGAGACCGCCAAAAGGCCTCCAAGAGGCTCCCAAAAGGCCTCCTCCTCCTCCTCCTCCTCCTACTCCCTTTTCCTTCTTCTCATCATTCTCCTCTTCCTCACGTGCTCCCCGGCAAGTTTCAACGACAGCTGGGGAAACACATGGTCCGATAGCTCTAGCTCAACTTTTGGCCACGTAGGCGCTTCCAAAAGGCAGGGGGCGGCAGTGATTCGCCGCAGGCGTCTTCGATGTATTATCCAGCAGATGGCGTCTGCCAGCCTGGGGCATTCAAGGGCTTGGGCTAAATGGCTTGAGCCAAACACGTCTAAGGAGTAGGACAAGTAAAAGGGGCGAGGGAGATGCTGTCAGGGGGGCGATGGAGAACGGAGACGAGGCAGTGGGGGGGGAACGGGGCGGGGGCAGCAGCAAGAGGGGGAACGGGGGCGGCGGGAGGGGCGAAGGGGCCGCAGGAGGGGGAGGACGGAGGACCCCGGGCGGACGTCGGACCCTCCGGGGCCACCCTGGAAGAGACTTGAGCCACTACCTGGGGAGGCGTCCCGAGGCCACGTGCGCGCACTGTCCTGGGACTCTCGAGCGCCCACCAGGGAGACGAGCAATCCAGTCGTGTCTGGAGGAGAGCACCCGAGAGCACGGCCTCTGAGTCTGGTCCCGATCCGCCAGACCATCCTCGAGATGCTCTCCCGGGAAGATGCTGGCACCATTCCGCAGCTGTGGTCCTTGTTGGGACCTGGGACTGTGTGGAAAATGATGGGTCCGTCTGGGGGGCTTTTGGGGTTGTCTTGCGGTGATATGTGGGCGTTTTTTTTGTTGTTGTTGTTGTTGTTTTTCTGCAACTCCGTGCAAGGAAAAACGTCTAGCCGGGAAAACAATATAATTAAGGCTCCGTGCTCGGTTCATGAACCGACCAGAGCAAAAGGTGGCCAGCTGGCCTGTGGTCGGCACCACTAGCGTCGGAGAGACACGTCGTCTCCCCGCCTGGAACTACGCTGGATCTGGATCGTCTATTATATACTGAGTCGCGCTGGTGACTAGTCCTGCCGCCGTCGCCAGGAGACCCGGGGCGGCGGCCTCTAAAAGCCTAAAACTACTGTCCAAGATCTGCACGAACGCGCCGTTGTCGACCCCCCCCTCCGCGAGCGCGTCCAGGTACGAGGACGTCGTCAGCAGGAGGTCGGAGGCGTGCCCCACGGTGGCCGTCGCGGCCGCCGCCGCCACCGCCGGGGAGCACGTGGCGAGCACCGCCGCGGCGCCGAGGAACACGGCGGGGGCCGCGAGCGCCGCCGACGTGGTCGCCCACGCGCAGAACTGGCGGTCCGACGCCGACGCGCGCACCACCGCCACGGGGGGGGGCAGCGCGGGCGGCGCCGGCGGCGCGGCGGCCCCGTGGGGCGGCGGCGGGGCCCCCTTGGGCAGCGGCGGCGGCCGCGGGCACGCCGCGGAGGAGGCCGCAGACGCCGCGGCGCGCCAGGGGCCCACCCACGGGCCCACCGCGGGGACGGCGGGCTTCGGCCGGAAGGTGCCGGGAGGCCGGGCGCACGCCGGGAGGGGTGCCGGGAGTGTGGCGGCAGGTCCTCCGCCGGCGTGGTCCCGGCTGGCGTCCTGGTCTTGGCCGCATGGCCAGCCTTCGGGCTGCTCGCCGGGCAGCCACGGTGCCGGCCCCCGGCCCTGGGCCGCAGCCTGAGAGAGGGGGTGCTGCCGGATGCGCCTCGCGTGCTGCAGCGCCTGCAGGCGCTCGCGCTCGCGGACCTGCCGCAGCTCGAGCTGCTCGGAGAGGCCCAGGTCCCAGAGCAAGCGCTCCGCCACCTCACAGGCACTCGAGCACGCGACCACGGCCTGGTTGTGCTGCTCGACCTGCCCTGCGGCGTCCAACAGAGCCCTTAGCCGAGAGATGCGCGCGCAGTCGCCGCCGAACACCCGCTCCACGATGTGGCGCTCGCTAGTCACAGCCCTAGAGATCAGGTTCCCCGCCTCCATCAAGTGGTCCATGAGGATGTCGCGGAACTGGCAGTAGTCGATATGGGTCGCTGCGTCGCTTAGCTGCTGAATCAAGACCGCCTCGCAGCTGTCTATTGCAGCATCCAGCTGAATCTCCTGCTGCTCCACTCCGTGCCACGCACTGGCACCATCGAGGCCGCATCGGTTCTGCTGGACCCGCCTCTGCAGCTTGTAGGGAAGCATCTCGAAGGTGGAGTACGACCCGCCGGTGGCTTCGAGGGCCTGCATCGCATCCTCGAGGGCGTGCTGCGAACTGGCGTGCAGGTGCAGCTGCTGAGAGCACCCCTCCAGGTGGCACTCGTTCTTGGTGTGCGCACGCCTGCGCGCCGCACTGGTTCTAAATTCCAGGAACGTGTTCAAATGACGACTGCCCTGGTCGCACGGCTTGGGAAAGTGCAGCTTGACCAACTCGAACTCCTCGAAAGCCTCGAGGAAGGCCTGCGGGGTAACGTCATGGGCGGTGCGGCATTTGAGGAAGTGCTTGCTGGATTCCCTGAGGGGGCATGCAAGATCCCAGCGGCCCTTACTGGACAACACCTCGTGCGTGTCCCTCATGGTGCTCAGAATCCGTTCGCGACCAGCGCGGCTGCACCTCCCAGCCAGATTGTGCCGCAAGTCGAACGGATCCTCGATGTACCACTGCTCTTCGATGACGCGAGTCTGTAGGGTGAACTTATTCACCGACTGCCCTGGTTGGGACTCCCGAATGCACACCGCACAGGACTTCCATTCGAAAGCAAATCCGTAAAAATGAAAAAAGCCGATGAGCAGTTGGCTGACGGTCATCTCGTTGTTCGACTTCTCCAAGCCCCCTATGTCGTCCCAAAACTTGGTGTCCCATGTGTCCTCCATGCCCCACTTGTCACTGTCAACCAGGAAAGGCTCCGTTGCCATTTTTTGCAGGTTGGGCAACACAGGCGGCGTTGTCTGCTGAAGGTAAAAAACTGTGAGGAGCATGTATGCGTAGCTGTTCAAATTCGCCGGCCCAACGGGCCAGGGCGTGCTAAGATCTCTGGTACCTGGTTAACAGTATTTCTAGTTCGCGCGCGCGGGGCGGCCCCTGGGGGTCCCCGGACGAAAAGTACCCCGGCAGGGTCCCGGCAAGTCCCCGGCAAGGTCGGGCCAGAGATGCCGGAGCCCTGTTACAGGGCCCCAGGACGGGCCAAGAGGTCCCCAAGAAGCCTCCAAGACGGTCCAAGAGGGCCCCGAGACGGCCAAAGATCGCCCGAAGACGCCCAACAGGGCCCCAAGACAGCCCAAGAGGCCTCCAAGACGCCCCAAGGGCCTTCCAAGAGGCCTCCGAAGAGGGCCCCAAGAGGCCAAAATCGTTGATTTTCATTGTTTTTTTCGATGTTTTTTGCGTTCTGGCTTTTTCGGCTTCCGGACGCTCCAAGACGGCCCAAGAGGCCCCCAAGACCGCTCCAAGACGGCCCACGAGGCTCCCAAGACGGCCCCGGAACGGCCCAGGAGGGCCCCCAAGACGGCCCAAGTGCCGCCCAAGACGGACCAAGAGGCCCCAAGACGGGCCCAAGAGGGGCTCAAGAGGGGAACCGAGAACTGAAAAATCGAGCCCTCCGCCCCAGAAGGCGCCCAGGAGGCCCCAAAAAGGCCCCAAGAGGCCCCCAAGAGGCCCCCAAGACGCCCCAAGAGGCGCCCAAGAGGCCCAAAAGAGGCCCCAAGAGGCCCCAAAACGGCCCCCAAGAGGCCCCAAAACTCGGCTAGCCCACAACGGTGCGACAATATGGGCCGGCGGAATGAGCGAAGCGATTAAATAACCATCGGCACTGCCAACCAGGTCATGCCTCTTTGCCCAATCTTTGATGAGCCGGCCCAGTTTCGACACCCGCTGGTCAACCTCACAGTAGCAGCCAAGCATCCTTGAGTTCCTAACCCCTAGGTCATTGTTGATGCAAAAGTCCACCTCCGTTTGTGTCCTCACGTCTGTAAACTTCAACAGCTTCGTCGACGCCTGGAAGACCTTTGTGACGTTACCGAAGCCACAAGATGGCAACTGCTCTGCAAATTTGGCCAGGTAGTGCACCGCCTGTCCAGCATCAATCTTACTAACAAGTGCAATATCGAAATCTGATGTTCCGTTCTTGCAACCATTCGAGAAAGACCCAAACATTGTTACTTCTCGGGGGAGCCCGATCTTTTTGGCTATACCTTCCATCGTCAATTTCACGCGTTTCGCAGCCCTCTCTCGTTCCAGCTCATGTGTGTCTTTTTGCAGGACAGCCTCGAGCTCTGAATCCAGTGCGCAGGGCACAGTATTGCTGCATGCCTGCATCTGGTCTTTCAGCGTGTGCGGTTCACAACTGGTGGAGACCGCCTTAAGCCAAAATGGCTACGGAGGTGATATGTGGGCGTCTTTGGGGCCGCCTTGGGAGGACCTCAGAGCCGTCTTGGGAGCCAACGGGAGACATCCATGACTGTGGTGGGCTGCTGCGAACGCCCTCAGACGCATCCAAACTGCCTTGGAGAATTAAGGTCACCTATGGGTCCCGCAATCCCGCTATACGCGAAAGGTAGTACCCGTCCGGGGAGCCTCTCCCATGACCCCCCATACGCAGACACATGGAACACAGCATCATGTAATACTGGGTCCCCCGCAGTTGCGGATCAGAGCGATGGGGCTTATAAGGCTGGAGCGCACGATGGTGCTCCCCAAAGCCAAACCAAACGCCAGCGCCGATGTGATCAAACCAAATCGCGGGTGGGGCACGGCGCGGGTTGCGTGCGGGTCTCCGCGGAAGTCGGGAAACGACGACGACAGCACAAGCACTAGCGACAGGCTGACTTACCACAGTGTTCGGTGCTTGCAGACGCAGCATGCGCACATCGCGAGAGCTGCCCTCTCAAAGAGGATCTTGTTTCATGCGTCGGGGGCCCGCTGCTCCCTCACCAAGATCTCCCGCCCAAGGAGGTCGAGCCAACAGCTCTCCCGAGGCGCTTCACGACCATCAGATCGCATCAGGCAGTCTAGTCCGTGCAGATTTGGGGAGCAGTGAAGGGGTAAGACCACAATGGGCCGAATTCGCGCCATTCGATGCGTTCTTTGGCGGGGGGATCGCGTCGGGAAAGATACAAGCAATCCGCCTTGCACTAATAACTGCTAGAGACATTTCCGCCCACCCGACCACACAGCTTACTAGATGCTGTTTTCCATGGGGCGCTGCTGCAGAAACGATGTGCCGAGGGGGGCTGCTTGGTCGGATCACCGCTGTGACCCACGGCAGCCAGCCCCCATGATGTTCCCAGCTGTGTGACTTCAGACTTGCGACGGGCGGGGGGGTGGGGCGAAGCAGCATTGCATTCGAGGGGATGCCCTGCAGCCAAAACGGCAA